GTGTGTGTGTGTGTGTGTGTGTGTGTGTGTGTGTGTGTGTGAGAGAGAGAGAGAGAGAGAGAGAGAGAGAGAGAGAGAGATCTCCTGACCAAGACCAAGATTTCAGATTCATCATTCCCCCATACATTTAGAAGGTCAATTTAGAAGGAAGATTTGAATTTTATTCCTCTTGATTTCATTCAAACTTTCCTATCAACAGTAAAAGGAAGTCTACATACACTGCAAATCACAACAAAACATTGTGCCTTTGGGACTCAGCTGCTGCAGGCAGGACCTGGGTGGGCTCAGGCACGGGACTGTCAGGAGCCTAGAGAGAATGTCACACTGTCACCATCGCATCTTCCTCAGCAAATATCCCGTTTCCTCCCCCTCTCCATTGCCCCCTCCCCTTGGGCCTCTGCTCCTGGCAGTGGCTTCACAGACTAACACCTGTCTTCCCTTGGCAGGTACCATGACCAGCAGGATGTAACTAGTAACTTTCTGGGTGCCATGTGGCTCATCTCCATCACGTTCCTTTCCATTGGCTATGGGGACATGGTGCCCCACACATACTGTGGGAAAGGTGTCTGTCTTCTCACTGGCATCATGGTGAGTACTCTGCCCACGGCCCTGCCCTCAAGGTGTTGCAGGAACACAGAGGGTCCTATCTGGGGAGGGGGAGGGGTGCTAGTCTCTAGGCATGTCAAAAGGCAAGTGTGAACTGTGCAAACCTAGTTTTCAAAGCCCACCCTCAACCAGAGCAGCTGGCTGCTGCTCTGACCCTCTGCTCCCTACCAGGGAACGCCAGGCTTATAGTTCACCATGCTCCTTCCTGTCCCACAGGCCTTGCTACCACTTCTGATCAAGTTTAGCAGGAACTCAGAAATAGAACACTGAGCCAGCCTGAAGGGACCTGTGTCCTGGATGGGGTTGGCTGCTGGCTTGAGTCCTGGTTTTGCCCCCACGGCTCTGGGCCAACTCTTGACTTTCCCAGGCTTTGTCTTCCGTGCTTGCACATTGGAGCACTGGCTCTGAGTGCCAACAGGTCTCTAGGCACCCAGCACTGCAGTCTGTATCTTCCCACCCTCAGCCAAATGTAGGATCCAAGAGCTCTGGGACACACATGCCCCAGCCTTTCGCTGGGGCTGAGTAATACCCTCACTGTGGCCTCTGGGCCAGGCGCTTAGCTATCACCTGTGGGGCACGCACTCTCGTGGGTAAAGTGAAGCTGGACATGACTGCCCTCCTCACTGGCTCCGAGCCAAAGAAATAACTGAGGCCAAAGTTTGGGGTCAACAATGAGAGATGTACCCAGGATACCCCTACTTTTGAAGCCACAGGGATTGGGGGATATTTTGGGGAGTGGGACAGGCAGTGTCCCCCTTTGATGCCCTACATGGATGCCCTACAATGCCAGACTTCCTTCTTTTAGCCCAAGTGACACCCTCTTCTCAGAAAAGGAATGACCCCAAAGAAAGGGCACACAGCTAGGCCTGGGGGCATTGAGGTTAGTGCTGGGTGACAGAACAGACAGGAAGCTTGAGGCCTGGTACTAGGTCCCCATGGGTTGGCCCCCCCAACTTTCCCATCACTATCTTGCTCTGCATCCTACTCTGTGGCTGTGGCACCCTCCTTTCAGGGTTCCTTTGATTTCAGCCCCTTTCTTACTGATCCCAGGAAACAGGACAGCTCTTCCCGTGAGGCAATGACCTGGGTCTGCAGAGGGGAAGGTTCCAGATAACTCCATCAAGGAAGGGAGACTGTCCCTCTTTCCACTCAGTATGGTGGCCATCAGAGCTGATGTTGGTGGGCAGGAACCAGCCGGCCACTAGGAGCAGAGGTGACCCCAGGGCAATGGGTGGCTGTCCACAGCCTCCTGTTCTTTTCAACTCCCATGTAGGGCAGGCCCGTGTGAGCAGGCAGCCTTGAAACAGCCCATAGTGGCAGAGGCATAGCGCCAGGCTGGGATAAATCATGGTAAGTGTAAGGCTTTAGAACAAACACCTCCCATCATTCAGTAGGAGTCTATCTGGCACAACTCCAACTGTCACCAGGAAACCAGGCAAAGAGTTTTCCTACCAGAAAGGAGTGAAATGCCACCTGAAGGCTGCAGCTTCCCTTCTGAGACTCCTGGAGTGGGCTTCAGCCCCACCCAAGTGCTCAGGCAGGGTGCTCAGAGCCTGACTGCCAAGAGGTGGCTGGGCCTCTGTTATTTTTAAGTACCAGCCATTCTCCCTCTCAACATGGAGCTGTGCCCCATCCAAGAAGCTGCCCAGGCCCACTGTTTCCCTGGCTCCCTGGCTCCCTAGCTCCACATCTCATGGCTTTCTGCTCTAAAGCATGATAAAAGCACTGAAAGCCCTGGCCCAAGACACAGCTTCTCCCTAGGCAATGGTCTTCCCTGGCCTCCTATCTTCCAGCACCCTTGGTGGCTGTGTGGGCCCACAGTGTTCCTTATGGGTTGCAGTAGGTTCCAAGTGGGAAGGGCCAGCAGGTGAGGGACCTCACACTGCTTCCTGAATTACAATTCCAGCCCAGGCCTTTCCTGGGAGCGCTTTGCATAAAGCCTGGCTCCAGGAATATCAGCCCTTCCCCCACAATGGCTCCGGTGTGAGACTTTCCCTCTGTTCATTGTCAGTGTCTTTACCCATATTAAATGCTGCTCACTCTGGAAGCTGGTGCCTTTTTTTCTATTCAGCGTGATTCTCCAGCTGAGTCATTCCTTTCTAGGGGCTCACATTGCTAAGGCTACCCCCACAACATGATGTATATCTCCTGATTATTATTCCAAGGGCCTTAACTAAAGGTAGGGCTTCCTGTTTGGTTACCATGGACACCACAAGGCCAAGGCAAGGGCTGCACAGGAAGGGAAAGGGAAGGATTTAGTGTGCCTGCTGCAAATGGCCTTAATCATTGTTTTCCTTTGGCAATCCAGCAACTGCATAATTATCCACCATTAGGCAGGGCATATAACTGTCTGGACAACTTGACACTGTTGGCATAGGCCTGGAGCACTTGAGAGTTCACTCATTAACACAAATCTACCTTGCACTGCAGCATGAGGAATTTTTCAGGATACTTTACAGTGTTGTTAATATCCAGCACCCAGAAGGGAAACAAAGCTTTTGGCTCTGCTTCTGTTATCTGGGAGAGCCTCGGGGAGTCCCCGGGGACTTTTCTTTGTCCCTTCCCAGTGCTGGATGCACTCTGCCACCCTGATGTGGGTTGTGGACAAACAGGCCTTGCAGCTGTCCAGTGGGACAGCCAGCTCTCCCCAGCAGAGATGATGAAGAGGAGGGGACACACTTTAGGAGCATCGCAGGGAGGGCTCAGCGAGATACCTGCTTAGTGTCCTGTTCCACGTGGCCCTCCTCAAACACCTTGGCTTCAGAGCTGTTGATGGTAGTTTGGCTCTTCTGTGGAATCTATTGCAGCAACCAAGCTGACCGTAACTGCTCCAGGCTGCCCTCCTCCATCCGTCATTTTCATTTATGTTTTATTTCCTTTTATGCCTCTTTAGTTAAGAACACCTCATACTTTTCCCCCTTGGGATACTTGTTTTTCCAATGTCTAAGATTTTCCAGCTGGAAATCTTTCTTGGAAATGAGAAGTGAGAGGGCCTGGTGCAGAGCAGTTGGGGTCCAGATTTGGGTTCAAATCTGATGATGACTTAGACATGTTCACCCCTCAAGACACCTCTTCCCTGGTCATTCTGTGTCCTCTGCTTATCTGTGTACCTTGGGTAAATCTGGCCTCGTTGGAGGCGGGTCCTCTTCCCCTCTGTGAAACTTGGTAGGATGTACTGAAGAATTCCATTGACATCTTGATGTCAGTGACTCGGGTCTTGGCATCTGAAGACAAGATTGCTCTTCCTTCTGATCCCACGGGAGTCACTACAGCAGCTGCCACTGTTCTATCCCATCCCACCTCTCCTCACACGCATCTCCATTGTGCACCAGCATCTCTGAGATTCTGCACCAGGACAACATGAACACCCACACTACAGTTAACCAGGGTCGGGTCACCTGGTACACCAAATCTCACAAACACTCCCAGGTGACAAATGCAACCCAGGGATCACTCTGAGAAGCAAGAGGTTTCTTAGGGAACAGAGTAGTGAGGGTTAAACCCCTGGGGACAAGCAGAGCTGGGCCCTGGGGGATGGGTCATGGCCCCTCTTTGGTTCCTCTACAGAGCTCAGGGTGAGCATCTGCTCACCTCTGACTTAGGCTCTTGGTTCACTCTCATCAACTGTGCTTTTTCCTTTCTGTTTTCTGATTAGAATGTGGAAGAACTTGTTTTCTATCTCATTGCCCATCTCTCCCTCTCCCTTCTCTCTTCCTCACTCACATCCTGGAAAGGACTAGTCTTAGCACTCCTCAAACCATTTTCTGAAGGTTGTTGATGTTTGATCCCACATTCACCAAGTTGCCTCTAATAGACATTAGTAGGTCTGGCATTATGATTTGTGACCTCCCTAGTTATATCCAGACAATGAATTACCTAAAAGAAATCAGAGCATGCAGGCCAGCAATAGGACACCTCAGCTAAAGGCATACTGCCAAGCCTGACAGCCAAGTTCAAACCCCACAACCCATAGGTAGAAGGAGAGAACTGGCTTTCTCAGATTGTTCTCTGTCTTCCACATGTGCACCTGGTGAGCGCGCGTGTGCACACACACACACACACACACACACACACACACACACACACACGCAATTAAATTTGATACATTTTTAATTAAAATCGTGAATATCCACTGAAGCTGTAATGATGCTAAAAAGGTAGCACCCTCTGGAGAAATAGCTACAAGGGAGTGTTTACATTTTTAAGTTGAAAGAAATTGGGCACTGGGATTCAGTCCACTTTGCTGCATCAATACATAAAAAGTATCTTTCTCATGTAAGACCAGCAGTTCCTTAGTTAAAGTGCTGCACTTCCTATTAGCAGTCCTGTGTAGTTGACCAGCTAGGCTGTGGGCCAGGGCTGGAGCTACAGGGCTCCTGTCTAGACCCCAGCAACTGGGGCATGACCAATTGTTTTGATGATGTTCCCAATGTAGCAAAAGGGGGACTCACTCTTCAGATGTCACACCCCAGCTTTCCCTGGGTGATTTAAGTGGAATTATTTCTGAAACCAGGGGAATCTGGGAAGAGCCCTCTCCCTCTGATGTTCCATTTTTAATGCTAGGACACATCCTTCCTTTTGGATGTTCCATACAAAGGAGAGGGCTGATGCTGGCTTTGCTTAGGAGGAGAGGGAGCATGCATCCTCCCTCCAGGACAGTTTCTTTTAAGCTATTTTTGCTTTTGGCAGCCAGGCTAAATTGATTGCAGCTATAGACTGGGCTGTCCACTTGTCCATATCCTCTGAAAATTGGGCACAGAGTCTCCAGCAAGTCACAGATGCCAAGAAAACATAGCTATCCACAAACAAATGGGGGAAATGAAGTAAAAAGAACAGTTCACAGACTGGGCGCTATGCTTGGACAGGGTGGCGGAATGGATGGAGTGCCATTTGGCTGTGTTAATGGGACCCTTGTAGAGAGTTAGGAGATAGCACTGTCACTTTCCACAGTAGCATCTCACACAGGATGGCCTTCATCAGTGATGGGGAGAAGAGCAAGTGTTGCAGGAAATGCATTTGTCCCAACTCTACTGTAGACTGTAGTGTTTCTGAGAAATATTCTCTTCACTTCTCACACATATTATAAAACCTATTAAGCCAAAAGTGTTACTAGTGGATTCCTTCACCCCCAACATCTCAAATTGCTAAACCTCGGCTCTGTGCTTTGCTTTGTGGCATGGGAGACTCACTGCTGGCATTCCTAAGTCCGACACTTCTTTCCATGTGTGGTGGTCAGAGTGGTACCCAAGTTCAGGGAGAGGGCAGTGGTCTGTGAGGAGAGCCCAGGGATGGCTTCCACTGGCCACCAGAGAACCAAGCAAAGGGACTCTGTCTCCCTCCCTCAGAACTCACCAGCCACCAAGCCACACAGAGAGAAGTGTCTCTAAACACTGTTCCTGCTCATTGCTCAGTCAAGTGCATAGCTAAAGGACAAGGCAGGAAAAGTAGTCCCGCTGTTCTGTGGCTCAGCTCAGGCCTGCCACTTTGTTCTCCTCTGCTGTGCTTTCCTGTGGGGGTTTGGGGGTTGGGATGGGGGTGGGGACTACCTGAGCAGACTAGAAACATTATTCTACAGAGGCTGAGGGTGCTCTTATGGGTCTCTTAAATCCTGACTGCAGGCAGCAGCGTTGCCACCTTTAACGTGTTAGTGAATGCACTAGGCTCCTTCTGAGAGCCGATTCCTTGTGCTGAGTCACAGCCTGGAGCCTTAAGGAGAAAGACCCACACAAGGGGCAGGCACTATAGTCAGTGCCCATGGAAGCTTCCCTTTCGGGAGGCCATTCTCATCTTTGAGAAGAATGCATTGCCTCTCCATTTGGCTCTTCTCAGGACTTCCTCAACTGCCAGGAGTGGCCTGCACAATGCAGTCACACGGGTGTCTTTCCCCCTGGGCCTGCTGGGCTGGAGCTGGTGTGAGCTCAGGACAGCATGAGACAGACAGATAGGCTTCCATGTGCTGGACCCTCTGTCACTGGCTGTACTGCCCAGGAGCCTGACTGCCCATGGGTTTAATTAAGACTCACCCTAGCCACACAGTGCTGAGAACTGGCCAGCTCTATTAAGAACCATCCCCAATGTCAGCCAGGGTCATAAGACAAGAAGCACCGTAGACCCTTTCTTGGGTGGGGATATCAGGTCACAGGCTTTATGGCATGTCTTGACCAGTGAGAGACCCCCGAGTCTTATACTGGTCCCCTGAAATGCCCACACTGGGCATGGGGCACACTGCTTCTTGTGTCTTTGCCTCCTAACTGTGTGTTCTCTCTCCCGGGGCCCTTGGATGTCCTCCGGCAGGGTGCAGGCTGCACTGCCCTTGTGGTAGCTGTGGTTGCCCGGAAGCTTGAGCTCACCAAAGCAGAGAAGCATGTTCACAACTTCATGATGGACACTCAGCTCACCAAACGGGTAAGATGCCTCACCCCCATGCTGGACACTCAGCTCACCAAACGGGTAAGATGCCTCACCCCCATGCTCCCATGTAGGTTCACAGCTGAAGTGGGAGCTGCTCAGAAAGAGATCAGGCACCAGGTGTGCTCAGCAGTGTCCCTCTGAGTGCAGTTAAGGGAGCCCCAAGCTCAGGCATTGGGCTCCTATTCAACGAGTGAATCCCATCAAACCAGGTGAGCCCACCATTAAGTCACCACACGCTTCACGCAACCAAATAATTTTCCTGATCATTAGATCAATAGCGTGGCAATAGAAGCCACCTCCCTGCTTGATGGGGTCAAAGCAATCACCCAGTATAATGCAGTTTTTGTCTATGCTCAAATATTTTCATGATTCACATTAAGAAGGGCTGTAGAAAGGCTTAAAATTATACTAGAGATGTGTCTAAATCCAGCCCCTTTTAAAAAGCCATTTAAAGAGATTATTCCAGTAGAGCCCACATTCCCAAATAGTGTTGCTCATCAACATGTCATCATCTGGTTTTTCCCTTTTGGGCTTTCTGGGTAATGGCTCTCACTTGCACCCTTATGAACGAGGTTTAGGAAGCTGAAAATACAGGAATTGAGTGATTAGCTGCTGCTCAGACATCCCTACTGGGTTGTCAGGGAAAAGAAGCCCATTTAAGCCAGGCACAGTGATCCCAAGACACAAGAGGCTGAGGCAGGAGGACTGCCATAAGTTTGAGGCCACCCTGGGCCACCTAGCAAACCCTGCCTTAAAACAAAATAAGAGACAAGCAAAAATTAATGAGGCTCCTTTAGAACAGAACAAGAATAAGGCTTCGGGTACAACAGCAGAGCCATCAAACTTGGTAGGAGCTGTTTCTACAATGACAGCTTTCATGCAATCTTGAAACAAATGGCAGTCTGAAGGACAGTCATCTGCATGACCTTGTGAGAGACTGCTCTTCTCAAGACAACGGACCATGACCCTGGGCCCTCCGCAGGTCCTGGGCCCCAGGGAAATGCTTCAAGGGAACACGAATCCACCAGCAACCCCACAGTCTTAGTTGCGGATTTGAATGCTAGAGAAATCTTCTGTGATTAATGTTTCAAAGCAGTAAAAATGTGTTAGAAATAGTGACAGACAGGAAGACAGAACAAAAAGAGACCTGAGAACGAGCGGGCGGGCCCTCAGGGAAGCCAGTGCCGAGTGTGCAGTTGCCAAGGCCTCAGCTTCTCAGCAGAATTATTTACAGCGTTTGATTGTTGGGTCTTTAAAGAGCTGCACAGATATGAACCTGTACAAGCAAATCTTCCCATATCACTGGCACACAGACCATGAGGCGCATGGCCCCGAGCCACCAGCCAGACGAAAGGAAACATGGCGCTCCAACATGACAGTGTGTGATACTATCACCCTCAGCGCTCATATCAAATGCTGCAAGGACCCTTATCCTCAGCCCTCTCTCCATGCTCAGCGCCAGGGGGAAGGCTGGGGTATGAACTGACCAAATGCAAGTGTCACCATGAGTCAACTCAGTTCCCTGCTTGGAAGCCAGCGAGCCTCAAGCAGGAGAGAGGGGTCTTTGCCTCCTGGCTGTTCTCAGAGGTTGTTTGCCAAGAGCAGAAACATTAGCATTCTGTTTACTCTGGTGGCTTTTTAAAGCCAAGACTACACTTTGTATTTTCGTGCTATTCCTTTGTCCTTTCCATTTTTCACCCAGTAAATCAGACACTAGAGGAAAATAAAACCAAGGGAAGCCAGCTCTCTCATGGGCCAGGAAAATAAGCACATTTTTTTTCTGCACTATAATTGTACAAGGAGATGAGGTTGTGGCTGCTAATTTCAATCTTTCAAAAATAATTCACTAAAACCCTCTTCAAGTCCACTTACTTTTGGAGAATAGGGCTGAAAATCAAATCCATGGATATTTATTGCTCACCCATGAGTACAAGGTGCCTTCTTAATTGAATAACATCTCACTTTTCTCAGACATTTAAATCTGCTGAAATGTCCCTTTAATATGTTACATCTTTTCCCAGAGAAATAAACACAAAAGGGATGACTTTTACAGGGGGAGACTTTCAAAGCCTCACTACTGAGGCTTCACAAAGGTCCTCCTTGACCAAACTGAGGCTGGCCCTGACTTCTGACCTCTAGGGAAGCCCTAGAGGGTCCTGAGCTGCCCTTTGCCCTTTCCCAATGGCCATGTGTCCAACCACAGTGATTCAAGGGCCAATGAGATGCAAAGCTCAAGTCTGTTCCCCAAAACTCCAGTGAATTCTCAGAGAAAGATCCAGTGTGGAAGGAGTTACCATGGCCTGTTGCTTTTCGGCAGTGGACAGTTAGTAGGATTACCGGATAAAAGCAACCTCTTGCAAGTATATGCAGTACTAACCCCTCAAACATCTAAGCAGAAAGAAAGCATGAATCACAGCGTGTGAATCACAAAAACACGAGTCATTCTGATGTTAATTTTTCTAGCCTGTGTAACTTCAGCCAGCCTCTCTGGGTACCACCAGGCTGTTGGTATTTGGTTACAAGTCAATGGGTGGACCCTGCCTAACAGATGAGAAACATCACAGTGAGAGACTGCCAGGCAACCTGTCTCCAGAGCTTGATTGGAGGTGTCCGCTATAACCAGAACTGGAGCTGGTGGCATGAAGGACCGACTTAACTTCTGACAAACCCAGTAGCATGTCTCCATTCACCAGAATAACTTGTCAACCTTGGTGGCAATGTCCCTTCTGTCTCTGTAGGGTTGCATCTTCCCACACTGACTCTTCAGTCACTGCCGCTGTCAATCTATAATTATAACTTATCGCCAATCCCTGGGCTATTCAATAATGTCTAAGGAAGTGACCCACAGCAATACTGTGTGTGGATGGGAAATGACCCACGCGTCTCACTGACGCCCCACTCAGACCTGTGGCAGGGTCTCTAATCAGATGTGCCGCTGGCCTGAGGTGCCCCCTTCTTGCAGAAGGGTCCCTTGCTCCTAATCTCATCAAACTATATTTCCCATGAAATCATTGAGAAAAGCCAAACCCAGCAACCCTGAACTACTTCCAGCTCCTGACATTACAGGGCTGCTAAACAAACATCACTGTCCCTCTGGTGTCCAGGCCCAAAGACAGTGCCAATTCTGACAGGTCTGTACCTTGCAGCCCACAGGGCCCCGCTCACGTATCTTTTACACATGATGATCCCTCCAAGGCTCCTCTTGCCCCATCTGTAAGGCACCCTCTTCCTAGTTTCCGCTGCCATAAGATCTGATTATCCTGCATCCACTCATCAGCCTTCCCAAAGTGCAGTCATCCTGTACTTTGTTTCCCCTTGGATCTCTTTAGATCTAATTTCACCCTGAACATATCACTACCACACTCAAAAACCTCGGGCAGATCCAGAACCTACCGAACAGAAATCAATAAAAATTGAACTCTGAGAAAATGTCAAAGGCTGGAGGGGGGGGGCAATGTTTCCAGCAGGCTTAGTCAAACACTCTTAGCAGGGGTGTTTTATAGGGAAACATAATGGCAGTCGCTGTTCTGCAGACATGGAAGACTGGCTAAGGAACTCTAGATGGATGACCCACAGCTGGTCTGGCTCATGAGTTGGTCCCCAGAACAAGCTTTTCTCTGTAGAGTTCATTAGGTAATCAATCATGCCATTACCAGGAATGCTAATTCTCCCAGAAAAGGATTACAAATGACATTCCCACAAAGGCTGTGACCCAGAGTGACTGGGCATGGTGTTTCTTTACTAACAATAGGAAAGCAGTGTGCTGGAACAGGACAGATCCTGGGGATAAGCTGGTCCAAACCAGATGTGAACACTCAGGTCCAGAAAGGGGAAAGGGAGTGGGTGCCCAGCGTGCACAGCTAGATGTGTCTTCAGGAATCAGCAGCCCTCCAGCCACCACACAATGTGATTAATTTCTTGAGCTTTACATGGTGACCAGGGTCCCTGGCCTGCTAGGAAGAAGAACCAGTTTGACTCCATATTAGCTGGGTGTCATATTAATATCACTATGAGTGATCTGCCATTTATCACAAGTCATTTCAGGTAGAGCTCAGACTCCAACAGAATACATCTCCTCTCCCCATTCCAAATTCCTGCCAAAAATGGGGGTGGAGCCCTTTCCAGGCGAGGCAGGGAATATGGACCAGGATGGAGAGGAAAAGAGAGGAGGCATAAGCAGGGTGGTGCGAGAGGGTAGTCTCCGGAAGTCAGCAAGAAGTCAGTGGAGGAAGCTAGGGAAGAATGTGCTGGCAGGTTGAAGAGAGCAGCCTTCTCCCCAGTTCTGGTTATAATGGACACTTCTAACCAACCTCTGGAGACATCAGTCTCTCGGTGTTGTGTCTCTCGTCTATGTTGGTTAGAGTCCACCCATTGACTCTTTGAGGTAATAAAGTCATAGCTGCCAGGCTGATCTGGATTTCCCCTTTGCCCTCTCCAACCAAGAGGGACACTGGTCCCTGGGTAGGGCTCCTGGCAGCATATCTGGGAGTTCACTAGTGGGTGAATTGCTCTGTTGGCTTCCTATGGCCACTGAGGGCATGGGTACCCAAGGGAGGAGCTCTTCTCATCCTTCTGGCATCCCTGGCCACTCTCCCTGCAACTCACAGACTTTCTGTGACGTCTTGTGGCAGCTACCCTAGCAGAGAGGTGGCCAGAGCAGCTGTAGCATGGGATGCTGTGGGCATGAGTGCAGAGACATGTGTCCTCTTGAGTGTTTTCTTTTCTTGGAGGCTGGGTCCATGAGAAGAAGCTGACACATATTGGAAAAGTACTGTCAATAAAGTGACAATAGGCTTATGAGATGACTCAATGAAAAAAGGCACTTGCCGCCAAGCCTGTTGACCTAAGGTTGACTCCATGGAAGAAGAAAAGAGACGGCTCCCAAAAGTTTTCCTTTGACCTCTATATGTACACAGTGGTGCATACCCCATCCCTGCAATCAACAGATAAATGCAATGAAAGATACAAGAAAACAAAGTGCATCGAAACACACCAGGGCCAGGCTTTATGCTAAATGTTCTACTCATAGTCTCAGTTAATCAGCATAGGAGTCCAGCAAGCAGATAAATAGCACTTGCAAGACTCTAGCTCCGACTCGTGCTTTGATTTTCTTTAAAGCACATAGTATCTGATACTGTATTTTTAACTGTATACTTCCTCACTCAGAGATGACAAATTCCAGGACAGCAAGAACACTATCAGTTCACCAGGAGTGATAGTGCACATTTGTAATCCCAAGAAGCTGCTGCAGAAGGATTTTAAGTATGAAGTCAGTCTGGGATAGTAGTGAGTTCAAGGTTGGTCTAGGCTACATCATGAGACCTATTTTTTTTTTTTTTTTAAAAAAAGAGAATGTTAATGATTTGCTGGTCTTTATACTCTCACTTTCCAGAACAGTGTCTTGCTCATCATAGGTACACATTAATATTCATTAATTGTCCTTTAAATAAATCTCAGAGAAGTCAGCAACAACCCACCCTCTTACACATTTATCTGGAGGTTAATATGTGAAATAATGCAGGTGTTAGTGTTCTCCAAAGCCTGGCACAGGGCTTGGTGCCCGTTAACTCACAGTTATTTGTGAGTCAGGCCCACTAATGTGAAGAGTTCTTCCTATCCAGGGATGGTGGTATATTCCTTTAATCTCAGCACTCAGAAAGCAAAGGCAGATGGAGCTCTGTGAGCTCAAGGCCAGGTTGGTCTATAGAGTAAGTTCCAGGATTTCTGGGACTGTATAATGAGACCCTGTCTCAAAACAAAACAACAGCAACGAAGTCCTTCCTGTAGTTAGTATATAGACCCTAATCAGCATGAACAGCAATGTGGGAGATAGAGAGCTTATAGACTGAGCACAATCAGCCTACGAGCTATGGGTCTGGAAGCTGGAGAACTGGCCTTTCACACACCAAAGATCCTTACTTAGTTATCCTGTATGACAACGCAACTCAGCCTATCAGAGCCAGCCTTGAACGGTCCTCACCAGTTCACTGCTCCCTCTCAAGCCTGACCCTCCAAACCCTTCATCCTGGGAACATCTTTTAGGTTGGGTACCCTAGTTCATTGGAGAGCTCAGAGGGTACCTAAGTCTTCATCAAGGAAAGGTGTCTACATACTGTGGAGGCTGAGCAGGCTCCAAGAGGAGCTGAAATGGTGCTATCTTCTCAACCATGCTTAGAGCCAGGTGCTAGGTGAAACGGAGGGAGACTCAGGAGAGCCAAGTGTGGTTAAAAGCCTATTCCTTTTCTCTTACAGATATTGATCTACTTAGCTTTGTGCCAGGCTGTTTGCTAGCAATTAATTTCAGTCAGTGCAAGGGCTTGCACTTCACATTACTTTTTGAATGCTCTGGGGCCTCGCTCTCAAACCCACAAAGATGATATGATGCTTTTCTGCCACCTGGCCAAACTGTGACTTCAGGATCTTCCATTTAGGCTAGTGTTAAAGGCAAGAGTTGAAGTCTGTGTTCTGTCATGTTGCTGAATGGTGGCCAGAAAGACTTTAAAAAGCAAGACAAAAACCAAACTAACATCCTTCCCAATTCTTGGATGCTGGGAAAGAGGAAATGGTCCCATTTGAATTCAGATGAAGTCCAGATCTGTCTCCCTTCAGACCTTACAAGAACCATATGCCCCTCTTGGACCTGACTCCTGATTGGACTTGGCCATTAGCTCTCTGTGTGCACCTGGCCTTTCATCCCATCTCTGAAACTGTTTCCTTCTGTTTTAAGTGGGGAGCTTGAGTTGTATAATAATAACCAATATCTGTCTGACACCTTGAGATTTATATAGTACTCAAACCCACATTACCATTGTTAAGCTGATGGACTGAGGCGTGTGTGTGTGTGTGTGTGTGTGTGTGTGTGTGTGTGTGTGTGTGTGTGTTAGCCCGAGATAGCTTCCCCTCATCTTATAGATACTTAAGCATTTGCTCCTAAACTACTTAAATGGGAAAGCCTACAGGCTTTCCCTTTTCAAATGTTCATTGGCAGGACACAGAGACTGTTGTCAAAAGCTTGTCGGTTTTGTTTTTCTGTGGCTCTATGAGCATTCCTAAAAAGGGACTGTGTAACCAGGGCCCAGCCCATTCTTGTAAAGGCTTAGGCAGGCTTTTTCCCTCCTACTTATCTTTAAGGCTTCCCTGGAGGCCGAGCGCCCACGGAAACTGTAAAGATGCTATAGCAAATTGCCCATCCCTTTAAGGGACAGCGGCAGCATCTTCTCTGCTGAGAGAAAGCCCTCCCTACCCCACCTCTTTAGCCAACCAGAACCAAGGCCCAGCGCCCATCATCCACTTACCCCTCCTTGCTACCCAGACCCTGGCCGTCTCCAGCCTCAGCTCACTGCTACCTGCTTACTGTCTGTCAAACAAGAAAGTTCCAGAGACAACCAATCAAACACTTAAAACCATCTTCGCAGTAGATTTTTTTTCCTGAACAACAACAACAAAAGCAATATTTATGTCACTTAGACATTCCTGAGAAGACTTAGATGTTCTTTTAAAAACATCACGTCAGCGCCAATGAAGACTATAACCTATCCTTAGTAATAGATTTTTGAAACACACACACACACACACACACACACACACACACACACACACATTATCACCAAGCAAAGCAACATTTCCCAGACTTCCCACACATCTCAGCATGGCAGCTACGCCCCATCTGTTGGTGTTGGTCTGAAGAAGCCAGTCTATACTCTCTGATTTTATTAAAATCCTATCTGGCAAGTCACCTGATCTTTTCTAGGCTGGCCTCCTCACTTCCGGGCCCTCGGCCTGTGGTCCTATGCCAGTGTGCATTGCTGACAAAAATGGAGATGGTTAATCAAAACTATGTTCGGCTTGCGCTGAACGGAGGGTTTTCTCTTGTTCTTGCCACTACGTGCTGAAGATGTCTGTGTTTGGATTAAAACTTTGTCCCCTGCCATCTGGATGCCATTGATATGTCTCAGCTCAGTCGTGAGCTGGATGATATCAGTGGTTTCCATGTCAACAGATGACAGAGTTGTATGTGGAACTGTGTGACTTATGGTGCCTTGGGTAACCAGTCTCAGGGAAACAGCTGTGCTCTTACACCTAAGCATTTTCCACGATTCTCAGACATCCCTGGGTTGATTTCTGTTTTGTTCCAATTAAATTTACATGTGAAATTGCAGTGCATAATCTTAGGTCGTTTAGGAAAGGAACAGTGGCCTTGTTGGTACCTGTTACTGAGATTTAAAGGAAAGACATCTCCTCAGAGACACCATTTAAATCTCCACTTGGTAGGGACCCTATTACTCTCAAATAAGTGTGGTAACCTAAATATGAGTGCACCAATGGCATGTATTTATTGATCCAAACTGTACCCCAGACTTCAAGGACTTGCTAAGCAGCCTGTCTAAATATAGCATCAGCAACGGCGGCCAAGAGGCAGCAGTGAAACCGTTAAGAAGGAAGAGAAGCCGGGCATTGGTTGCGCACGCCTTAATCCTAGCACTCGGGAGGCAGAGGCAGGCGGATCTCTGCGAGTTTCAGGCCAGCCTGGTCTCCAGAGTGAGTGCCAGGATAGGCTCCAAAGCTACACAGAGAAACCCTGTCTCAAAAAAAAAAAACAAAAACAAAAACAAAAACAAAAAAAAAGGACGAGAAATGCCTCACAACTCCAAGCTCCAGTTTTCCGAATCCCATACAAGATTAATAAGAGATGTTTTTTAAGCCTCAGAGTTTCACATTCTTGATTAAGAAGATAGCTCTTTGAGGAAGCACTTTCTCAGGAGGGAGATGGTAGCCACACATGCAAGGAAAACATACTGGGTTTAACAGTATGTTTTAACCTGACAGCAGCTTATTTCCTGTTCCGTAGATCAAGAATGCGGCGGCCAATGTCCTCCGGGAGACGTGGTTAATCTACAAACACACAAAGCTGCTAAAGAAAATTGACCACGCCAAAGTCAGGAAGCACCAGAGGAAGTTCCTCCAAGCTATCCACCAGTGAGTACCAGGGCCACGTTCCAGGTAGCCAAACCCAACACAAGATACCACAGCTCCGCTGCAAACTGTCAAACCAGGGAGACACGGAAGAAATCCACTCTGTTCTACTCAAAAGGCACCCAGTCCACACTGTCTTTTCCCTCACTGCTCCTGGGAGGCAGTAGGCAGGCTGCTGTGAGGGGTAAAGATCAGAGCAAGGGTCTGAAGGCTCTCATGCCACCCAGACACACATGTACACCTATACACAGACTCACATGGATACACACAAAGACACACACATATGCACAGACACACATGGACACACACACTCAAAGACATATATGCAAGACACACATGGACACACATACACAGACACACATATGCAAGACACACATGGACACACACAAAGACACACACATATGCACAGTCACACATATATGGACACACACATACACAGACAGATACATGTATAGACACACATACACATAGACATATACACACATGCACAGAAACAAACATAATACAGAGCTGTGTGCCTTCACACATGTGTGTGTTCACACACACACACACACACACACACACACACACACACACACACACACACTGCAACTCAGTGGTTCCTTTTGTAATACAGGAATAAGTTTGTTTTTTTTAAGTATAGTAGGAACCTGGGTATGGTAGTTTACGGTAGTAATCCCCAAACTCAAGAGGCCGAGGCAGGAGGATCTCCCTGAGTTGAAAGCCACCCTCAACTACAAATTCAGTTTGAGGCCAGTCTGGGCTACAAATTAAGACCCTGCCCCCCTCAAATAAGTACATCAGTAAATACATAAATAGGGCAGAAAAGCAAAGGGAAAAATTTATTCTGATCCAAAGGTTTAAGAAGCCTGGACAGTCAGGAAGCAGACATTAGAGGTGGTAAACACCACAAACAAAGGCAGTGGGACCGTTGGAATGGTGAGACTAGCAAGGAAGAGAAAGTGACACAGGCAATTGAGACAACAGGGTTTGCTTTCTTGGGCCCTAAAAAGTCTAATTGTGTCGGCTTCTGCCCGTGTTCAAGGTCCCAGTGCTAAGCTCCACGCTCAGGTGCAATGAGGGACTAACACTTAATGTGGACTTGAACCCCTTGTTCCACATCTTCCCCCACAGACTAAGGGGTGTCAAGATGGAGCAAAGGAAGCTGAGTGACCAAGCCAACACCCTGGTGGACCTTTCTAAGGTGAGTGGCATCCAGGACAGACCTGGCCCACATCCTCAGAGCATAGTGCAGGACCAGGAAGGCAAAGACATCTCTCTTTGATTAACAAATGTCTCCGTTCATGTTTCTTTTACATTTGTAACCTACCACTGTGTCCTGTCTTTTAACACTTGGCATTTGTTTCTTAAGTTATGTAATTCAGATTTGTCTTTGCTCATAACTAATTAGCTAACCCAGTTCTTTTTTTGTTTGTTTGTTTTCGAGACAGGGTTTCTCTATATTGCTTTAGAGCCTGTCCTAGAACTTGCTCTGGAGACCAGGCTGGCCTTGAACTCACAGAGATCCGACTGCCTCTGCCTCCCGAGTTCTGGGATTAAAGGCATACACCACCAACGCTTGGGCTAGCAAACCCAGTTCTTACTAATCCATTGTTTATTAGCTGTGCATCCAGGGGCTCCTAAAGATGACTGAAGTCACACAGGAAGCACTTTAGTGAGGACCAAATGTTGGTCTCCATTTATTCAGCATCCTGTCAACAAGCACTGGGAAGGGAAGGGCCCTGCAGATGGCCTGGATTATGTATACTTCAGATGGTTCTTTTCACTTTGTTGTTATAATAGAAATTCATTTTCCTGTGTCTTCTGAACCTTACAGCCCAGGTTTTCCTGACCTCAAATTGATGGTGGTAATGGTGTGTGTGTGTGTGTGTGTGTGTGTGTGTGTGTGTGTGTGTCTGTATTTATGTGTGTCTGTGTGTATCTGTGTGTCTGTCTCTGTGTGTGTGTATCTATGTGTGTCTCTGTGTGTCTATGTGTCTGTGTGTGTGTGTGTCTGTGTCTGTGCATCTGTGTGTCTCTGTGTGTGTCTGTGTATGTATTATGTATGTCTCTGTGTGTCTCTATGTGTCTGTGTGTCTGTATCTATGTGTCTGTGCCTGTGTCTGTGTGTGTGTCTGTGTGTATCTGTGTCTATGTGTATCGGTGTCTGTGTGTATATTTCACAACAGATAGACAGCTGACAGTGAACATTGAGGTCCTGAGAGCATAACGTCTTAAGGCCCAATATGACACTGTCATTCAGTGTTTCATGCCTTTACTGCCATAAACACCATAAAGAGACTCTCTTCTTGAAAATCAGCACTGTAGGCAGAGCTAAGCGTGGGCAATCTGACCAGGAGGTCTCCCACCCCCATCCCCACTGCCTTCTGATAGAAATTATATAGCAAGTGTGTAGCCTAGGGTCAGGTTGGCAGAACATTCCAGCAGATGTCAATTGTAATGGAACCTCATTCCCTAGGAAAGCAAAGGGAACTCCCTCAGGCCAATTAGGCACCCTTTGAAAAGAGCCTGCAAGCAGAAATTATTGGTTGCTGGGCCACGTGCAGGCGCCTTGTTCAATAGAGGGATCAAGGCAAAGAAAGGGCCTTCTATGCCTGTGAGGGCTTCCATCACAGCCGGGGAGACACCCACAGACCCATGTGCCCATGAAAGGGGCATTCAGGTGGAGTGTGGGGTTTCCCAGAGCCCAGTGTAGGAGGAAGTGAATGGACTCCCGGAGTCTTGGGCATGTTGGTTAATAGAGTTCCAGTTTCCAGTACCTAGTAGAAGAACATTGTAAATGGAGCCATTTATTCCAAGGAGATAAGGGATTATCAGAGGACATTCTCACACCATCTCCTCTCTGCTGTTCAGGTGCTTGTTCAAAGAGCCACCTCTTCCTCCCCTCCCCGCAACTCAGGTCACCTGGAGCTTAGTTGACTTTCTTTTTTTCTTAATTCTAAATTTTCAAGAGAGGTGGTTTGATTGGCCAGTTTGAGTCATGTGCCTGCCTTTAGACAAATCAGCTGTGACTGGGAAGCCCCCCCCCCATTCTGTGGGGCTTTGGATGTGACTCAGTGAGATGCCCCAAGATATTTCTTCAAATGCTAGCAATGTTTGCCATCCTTCCTCTCAGCAACAGGACACGGTGTGGCTGATATTCCCCCAGGTTTTGAGCTCATCTTGCTGCAGTGCTACCCAGTCTCTCAGAGGGACACTGTCTCATTGTTGGGGTGAAAGAGATGGCTTGGAGATGAGAACACTTACGTGCAAGCATGAGGATCTGGGTTTGAATGCCCAACACCCACACCGAGAGCCAGGCAGAGCTGCGTGTGCCCAGAACTTCACCATTGGTGGGCAGAGAAAGTGAAGTTTGATGGCCAGACCTAGTTTAGCCAAGACAGCAGTTTCTGGTTTGGTGAGAGGCACTGTTTCAGGGGAATGAGGCAGAGAACATTAGAGGAAGATACTCTATGTCCTCCTCTGGCTTCCTCATGCTTGCACTCATGCACTGGTACCCACAGAGTCTCATGCATGCAACACACACACACACACACACACACACACACACACAGAGAGAGAGAGAGAGAGAGAGAGAGAGAGAGAGAGAGAGAATAGAGAGAGAGAGAGAGCATGCTCTTGCATTGTGTTGGGAAATTAAGCCATAAGTAACAGGGGAGTGAGGTATATGGGAACAAACGTAGTAAGGGACGTGCATAAGACTTGAGGAGGAGGCAGACTCTGATATCCATCCCTCTAGTCTTTGTCTTTTCCTCCCATGTGACCAGTTGTGTGTGTTTCGTGTTGGTCTCCATTAGCTCAGCATCCTGGCAAGGGCAGGAAAACATCACGCTTGCTCCCTTACCCTTTGTGCTTCACCTCCTGCCTCCCTGCCTCCCACCTCTGCACTTTGCTGCTCCCTAGGTTAAGCATGTGGCCTCCCAGTGGCATTTTCTGTATCAAAGGGCCCCATGTTTAGTGTCAGAACTGGGAGGGCTTGGAGCCCTGGCCTGATTCCTTCAGTTTCTTCAACGGGGATGTAAAAACCACGCCCACCGTCTAAAGCTTGGGGAGCAGATGAGATAGGAACTGTAAAGCTTCTTTGTGAGCTGTGGAGGACTCAAAAGTGACAGTGCTGATTATGAGCATAGGTGAGGAAACCAGACCCAAGGAGCAAGATGGCCACCACCCAGTCACACACTGCAGTTCATCAAGGTGCCCCTGTGGTTCATCCGTCCTAGGGGCATGCCCTGTGAGGAGGCACATGACTAACTACTCAGGCCACCCTTTCTCTGAGGGTGTCACTCTTTTCCTGAGGATGTCTCCCTTTCCCCAGGAGGGCAGAGCTGACTAGAGAGGAACTGTCTTCATACCACTCCTCCAATATTCCAACTGCGAGAGGTGGAGGTGCTCCTACAATTTCACCATCGCCCCTTCTGCTCCTCTGCTGCCGCCTGTGCGCTCTGCCTTTATCTTCTGTTTCTCTCTCATCCTGCTTCTTGCTGCCTGTTTCTTACTTCCTGCTCCCCTTGCCTCTGGGGTCACTATGGCTTCCACATCCTTCTAGAGCAGTGGTTCTCAACCTTCCTAATGTTGCGACCCTTAATTCAGTTCCTCATGTAGTGGTGACCCCAATCACAAAATTGTTTCTTTGCTACTCCATAACTATAGTTTTGCTACTGTTATGAATCATAGTGTGAACATCTGAGATCGCAACCCACATGTTGAGAACAGCTGTCCTAGAGTAATGACGGGTGAAATGAGATTCAGGTGTCACTGGCAGATCCCAGAATCCCACAGAGACACAGTTCCACAAGCCCTCTCTCTCCCAGGGGTGCTGCCATTGGAACCCCCTTTTCTCACTCTGGGAGTGTGAGACTCCTAAATCTTCCTCCCAAGTAACAGCCAGCACCCCTGGTGCTTGTTGGCTGGGTGCTGCATAGTCTAGAATTCTGCAACTGGCACAGGGGCCACAGGGTGTCTGTGTAGGGAGTTCTGGTAACAAGTGGGATCCAAGAATGCTGTATGACAGTGTTGGGGATAGGATGCCATCAGGAGTATCCTCAAGGCAGCATCTTCCAGGCAGTGTGGAAGGCATGACTGCCCCGAGGAGTAAAGTGTAATCTAATAAACCAAGACCTCAGCTGGGTGGGATGACCCTTAAAAGAGGCAATCGGTCCCAGGCCTTATACTGCCTCTTAGGCCAAGGAACAAGAGTGGCTCCTCAGCAGGATAGCCCCTTCTGGTCCAGGATCATGCCCAGTGCATTATTGCAGCTTATATTCTGGCTGCAGGATAGAAAAGGGGGTGGGTTGGGGGTGCAATCTTGTAACTATGGGTAGTTATTAACTTTAATTTTATAAGGAGGTCATGGTAAGAGAGGTTAAGGAACCTGCTAGTGAGCTGAAGGCTTGCGCTTCAACCTTGACTTGTTAATTTTGAGTCTGTGGCACTGGCCGTCACCACCTCAGCGCCTTCTCTTGAATCAGTAGATGATGCCAGCCCTCTGCATGAATCTGAGAGCCATTTAGAGCCGTATTCCATTCAAGAAAAAGAGGAATGTTTCTTCTCTTCCGTGCATATTTACTGTGTAAAATTGATAATTGAGTTAGGCATGGAGGCACATGCCTTTAATCCCAGCACTCAGGAACCAGAAACAGGCAGCTCTCTGTGAGTTCAAGGTCAGCCGAGTCTACATACTGAGTTCCAGGCCACCAAGGGTTACATAGTTAGACCCTGAATCAAAAGAACAAAGCAAATTATAAAATTGATCATTGATACCTACTCCTTTAAGAATAAGGAAAATAGAGTACCCAACTCAGCTTGTCCACTACCTGGAAAGTCCTAGAGTTTTCCTTTGGTGACATGAGACACAGCTGGGCAGAGGTGGCTCATGCTGCAAGGTGAAGAGCATTTCATCTTTCTGTGGTGGATTCATCTGTGGTGATGGTCTCCTTCCTGTCTCCCCCAGATGCAGAATGTCATGTATGACTTAATCACGGAGCTCAATGATCGGAGTGAAGACCTGGAGAAGCAGATCGGCAGCCTAGAATCCAAGCTGGAGCACCTCACAGCCAGCTTCAATTCCCTGCCCCTGCTCATCGCAGATACCCTGCGTCAGCAGCAGCAGCAGCTGCTCACTGCCTTCGTGGAGGCCCGAGGCATCAGTGTGGCAGTGGGAACTAGCCACACACTTCCCTCTGACAGCCCGATCGGGATCAGCTCCACCTCCTTCCCAACCCCATACACAAGTTCAAGCAGTTGCTAAATAAAACTCCCCGCTCCAGAAGCATTACCCATAGGTCTTAAGATGCAAATCAACTCTCTCCTGGTCGCTTTGCTATCAAGGAAGTTTCAGACCAGGGAACAGAATGAAGAGAGATGGAGCTGATGAGCTAACTCATGTTCTTTCAGCGTGCTTTGTTCGATATGCCTTGAAACCAGAAATCTAATCTCTGTTTAGGTGCCTCTACTTGGGAGCTGGAAGACGAGGTGACTGGAAGCAACGCCCCTGTCAGGGCCCTTGCTGCAGAGTTGGCGGAGGACAGAAATCCTTGCTCAATCTCAGGTTTTCATGGGGAGGTGGGGAGGGGCAGCCACTCTGGAGCAGCTGAGAGTGAAGCCAGCTAAAGTGGTGTGCATCGGGCAAGGGTGGTATCAGGTTTGGGAAATGCACCCCCGGCTGCCTTGGGACCTCAGCACACCTCTCTCCCATTCTTTTGTCCAAGGAAGCCCCTGGGTGGTAAAAGTAAAAAGAGAGCTACCCAGAAATTTCCAAGATGGACATACCAAAATTAGATGGGGGTGGGGGGTGACATAGACAAATAAAAAGCCAGATTTTTCCATCCAATAATAATATCGAACCCATACACACACAGCTGTCAATCCAGGTCCTTTTTTGTTTGAGTTGAGCCTGAATGAAAGAGACCTAGTACCTTGCTGTGCACACAGTGAGCGAGCTCTAAATCTGCATTGAGACAAGTGTGAGGTGTGTTTGGTTGAGAAAGTTAGCAGGTACTGGCCACATTCTGCATCACTGAAGATGCAGGTGCCTCCTTCACAATGTCCTGGGCACACACCCTGCCTGATCCAGCTTATGTCAACCCCAAGCTGTTGGCATTCTGGAGGAATAAGCAGATGTCTAAAAATAACAGCTTTTGAAGAGTTTTCTTCCAGCCAAATAAGTTGTGTGCCGACGAACCCTGCATCCTCAGATATCTGTATATGGGAGATGGGGGCATATGTGCCCAAAACCACCAAGTGAACAGAACTATTGTCTGGGCTTTGTTGGGGCATCTTCATCCAGCAGCAGGTTCCAGCCCGAGATGTAGGAGCGTGAAAGGGTCAGTGCCTCCCTGCTGGGTTGGGAGAAGGATGCAGAGTAGCTCCTGCGGTCCCTTCTACCTTACCTGAGGTCACCTCAAAATGAAACACTGTGAGAACACAGGGAGCCCCAGGACACGTGTGTGTAAAATGAGAGGGTCACTTGTTAGAAGCCTATTCCTATTGTGCCATGTTCATCTCGGAACAAAATACACTCCACTGAATCTCAAACTCCAAGACACTCCAGAAGCATCTACACCCAGGACAGGCACTTGATCTTTGTTTTTTTTTGTTTTTTTTTTTTTTTTTCCAAAGCAACAGAATGGTCATGGAAATTAACTGTTTTGTGGTAAGACAACAGAGGACAGAAACCTCTAATCAGAAAGTGAAATCTATCTAGGAAAGTAAAAGCAACCTATGGGTGGTTTCCCCGGCCCCACATCTGTCTCTGTACTTACGAGGCCTCAAAGCTGGCAAAACTTTTCTCACATGTAAAGTGGGAAATAATCTTAAACAAAAATGCTGGTGAAAAACCCAGCACTTGGAAATGTGATGTGAAAACTGTCATGTCATTTATCACTTTTCCCATTCAGGGGTCTTTGATTTCTGCTTGTAAGAAATTACATATGGAATAGTCATCTGTCTTTAGTAGAGCGAAAGGGTGTTATCTGTGTTTGGTTGCTATCTTGAGAGTAGCCCTGTGGCCGGCTGTCATGGCCACCCCCACCCTGGAGGCACTGCCTTACTGTGTGGATTTTTCTTGTGCAGTGCTAGGCCTGGTCCTCTTAGCATAGGGAATTGCTAGATAGTGAGATAGACATCCGTGGCATGGAGGTCACTCTTGGGTCTTTTGATAAGTCTCTTGTTTGTCGTTCCGTCTGCTATTGCTGTCTTGTGTTTAGTTCTGCAATGCTGGAGACCAGACCTGCGGCCTCATGCATGCTAGACAACGCTGTCCCACTCACCCCACCCAGCCTGCTGCAGCTGTCTTAACGGCCTCTCCTCTTAATGGCCTATCTTGATCAGTCCCTTGAGCATTTTCATTAGCTGCTTTTCACACATCAGAGAGGCCACATTTGTCGTTAGTGCTTAATTCTTTTTACTTGTTCTTTTAATTATTAATTATCTGAAAGATTATTTTTATCCCAAGCATGGTTCCTGTTTTCAGTCTAACCAAACCTACAGGCACATATACAACAGATTAAATAGCCTTGTGTCTTCTTTGTGCCCTTGATTGCATTTCACAAAATGAAGGCTACTGATGGGCCCATTTCCTGGTCATTTGGACTGTAGCCTCAGCTGTTTTTTCCTGCTCTCTCCTTGCATCCTGCTGTGATCCTGTGCTGTGTGGTGGTAAGCGTGGCACGGCTAGGGGTTTAGTCTCCATTTCACACAAATGACGTGCAACGCCCCACTGCTTCTCCTGCCTTATATCCATCCTGGTCTGGACATAGTCTAAAAACTGTCTTTTTTTGTTGATTTTCTTGCTAAGAAAACCCTGGAGACTAAGTTAGCAGTGCTAGTTGAGAAAATGGCTAGAGTTGTTTCCAGGAGGATACCACTATCATTGGAGAGATGTGGGCATTTGTAGGGTGGCCTGGATCATTGTTAGTGTGATAACTGTGTGTGGTTTTGTGTCTAGCAAAAGAATATACCTCGTAAAAAGTGCCAGGATCTGAAGGTTGGTTCTGCAATGGCAAATGAACTGCTGCTTCTCTGTCCTAGTATTTCAGCTTGATGTGGGAAGTGACACTTCCCTTGCAAATACAATCACTCCTCGATGACCTGGGTATTAGGGATCCTGGTTATAGCTCACCCAGATGTATTCCTGAGTCTTTTGGCCAATCTCACATCACCTGAGCATCTCAGATGGTGAGGAAGGAGACTAATGGATCCTATGGCTGTGTGGTAGTGAGACAAGTTTGACTCTCAAGAGTGGGCTGCATATTTAAACCATGAATTACTGTAATGTCACTTTAGCCCTGAACTGGCCGAATTCCACCCACTCCTAGAAGGCTGACCCATGGCAGAGGCCCTCCTACCATCTTTCCAGGGATGCATTAGCAGACAGAAGCACTCCAATAGTTCCCCAAATATCTGGACACTTGAATTAAAAATATAGAGCTACCCTGTCATTGCTTAAGCCATATTATAGCTTCATGTACTGTGAAGTCAGGGATGTACTGTGATACTCCAAGACCACTGAGCTCAGTGGGATTTCAGGACATAGATAGCATCAGTTGGTAATTTACACCTGGCTAGAAGCCCATTCTTCCTTAGATTGAAGTTCAAATAAAAATCTGCACCTTTGGCTCAAAGGCCACGTATGTGATCATCATGAATAAATTGTCATGAAGTGTCTGTGAGCCATTCTTACCATCTTCATAATATATAACTCCATGACATCATGTCTCTAGATATAATCCAAAAGAATGAGAGGGGTGTAGCCGTGAGTCATCGGTGACTGTGACCCCAGATGGGTCCAGTCCTGTATGTAACAACAACCTTGTAAATTAGAAGCCGTAGAAGCTGTACATGAAACAGGTCTCAAGTGCTGAGCAGGTTATTAAAGGCCAAGAAAAAAGACACTGAAAAATAATGACTTTAATATATTTAGAGATTTCCCTCTTCACTTTGCAGCAATTTCCTTGCAAAGAAGTCATGGAAAGAAAAAAACAAAACCTAGTGATACAAAATTAGAATAGATTAAAGTCTGGGACTGGAGTTGCATATCTGGCCAACATATCTTGATGTGTGTATATTTAAAGGTGAAGATGAGTTAATGTTAAGTTCAAAGTATTCAGTAGAGGACAAAATGTAATCACTATTGTCTGTATGGCAGCCTACACTTAGATGTTACATTTGAATGTAGTGATAGTTATCAAAAAGTCATCAGATAGAGAGTAATATCTCTATCTGAGAGATATAGGAGAGATATCGGGGAGAAATATGGGGTTTTGAATAGTTCTGGAAGCCCCCCTCCTCTGGCATGTGACAAACAGTGTACACAAAATTAAGAGTCAGTGTTTCATCTCAAAACAGACAGCGTCATTACTGCTAGAGAAGCCCGCTGGGACACTGTGACACCATTGCGCTGCCAGCAGGTTACTGCTTCCTAAGCTACTGCTTTGAAATGTTCAAACAAGTCCCATTTCATACAGTCACTCTACTTCCCCCAAAGCTTCTGGCAGATTAAGGATCCATTAGTGGTCATTTTGCTGTCCCTGTTGACTTTGTAGTCTTTGGTTTCAGCCGCTTAGACAGCTATCTGGAGGCTTCATGGCAGGCATGAACAGTCCCTTCTCCACCCTGTAGTCCACACCTTGAACAGTATCCCTTTCTTCTCCACTACTGCCAAAGCAAACATTTGGGGAATGGGATCATAGCTAGCCCTAAGACAGGGGAATGGAGGGGCAGCAGTAGTGGCTGCCTGTGGTAGTAGGAAGCTTGCACCAGGCTGCATAAATAGTCATTGACAGTTAACTCCTGCCAGACAAGGAATATGTAGACTTGTGTTGAAATAGGCCACAGCTTATGAACAAGTGCCCTGTGCAGTGGTCCAAGGACAACCACAGAGGAGAAGTAACTGTGATTCTTTTGTCTCACGCCATTACTGGAAACACTCAAACATGAACTGGAGTTCCCTCTGAACAACATTGTCAAATCTTCAACAGACCACCTCCAAACCAGGTGCCACGTGCCCTGCAACAGTTGTTTACACACCGAGAAACGTATTCTGGAAGCTGTAACCTCGGGCCTGGACTGACGAGGGACCTTGTGACCAATCAAGCTGGTGGAGGAAAAGCACAAAATTCAATACCAACCTCTAGTTAAGATCCCAAAGAGATGCTGACATTTCTGGTAAAATAAATAAATAAATAAATAAATAAATAAATAAATAAAATAACAAATAGGAACAGTGGCAAATAAAAAACAATCTGATGG